CGTGTGTGTGTGTGACTCTTACAGTGTTCTCTTGACTGGGCTCCACTGTTAGAAGAAGATGCTCTTTAAACCGCAAACACACAGTGTCCTCCAGCGAGGGCGGTTTCCCAACTGGAAGAGAAAAACACATTCAGCACAGCCGTACCTCCACACACACACACACACACACACACACACACACACACACACGTGAGCCTCACCAGGATCAGCGCCGGCCCGGTCCTGCTGGAACGGTGGCAGTCGGTGGCAGACGAAGTCTCTCTTCATAGCGCTGGAGCGCAACTCCTGATTCCCCCGCTCGACATCATCAGCCAAACGCCGCAGAAACACACACACCTGCTTATTAACCTCAGGAGCCACGCTGGCAGACTGACAACACACACACACACACACACTGTTAGAGTCACTGTTACAGGTGAATGTGTGAGAGAGGAGTGTGTGTGAGAGGGGTGTGTGTGAGGGGTGTGTGAGAGGGGTGTGTGTGAGAGGAGTGTGTGAGAGGGGTGTGTGTGAGAGGGGTGTGTGAGAGAGGAGTGTGTGTGAGAGGAGTGTGTGTGAGAGGAGTGTGTGTGAGAGGATTGTGTGTGAGAGGATTGTGTGAGAGAGGGGTGTGTGTGAGAGGGGTGTGTGTGAGAGGAGTGTGTGAGAGGGGTGTGTGAGAGAGGAGTGTGTGTGAGAGGAGTGTGTGAGAGAGGGGGGTGTGTGAGGAGTGTGTGAGAGGAGTGTGTGTGAGAGGAGTGTGTGTGAGAGGAGTGTGTGTGAGAGGGGTGTGTGTGAGAGGAGTGTGTGTGAGAGAATTGTGTGTGAGAGGAGTGTGTGTGAGAGGGGTGTGTGTGAGAGCAGTGTGTGAGAGAGGAGTGTGTGTGAGAGGAGTGTGTGTGAGAGGAGTGTGTGTGAGAGGAGTGTGTGTGAGAGGAGTGTGTGTGAGAGGAGTGTGTGTGAGAGACGAGTGTGTGAGAGGATTGTGTGTGAGAGACGAGTGTGTGAGGAGTGTGTGTGAGAGGATTGTGTGTGAGAGACGAGTGTGTGAGAGGAGTGTGTGTGAGAGGAGTGTGTGTGAGAGGGGTGTGTGTGAGAGGAGTGTTTGAGAGGATTGTGTGTGAGAGGAGTGTGTGTGAGAAGTGTGTGAGAGAGGAGTGTGTGAGAGAGGGGTGTGTGTGAGAGGAGTGTGTGTGAGAGGGGTGTGTGTGAGAGGAGTGTGTGTGAGAGGAGTGTGTGTGAGAGGGGTGTGTGTGAGAGGATTGTGTGTGAGAAGTGTGTGAGAGAGGAGTGTGTGTGAGAGGGGTGTGTGTGAGAGGGGGGTGTGTGAGGAGTGTGTGTGAGAAGTGTGTGAGAGAGGAGTGTGTGAGAGAGGGGTGTGTGTGAGAGGGGTGTGTGAGGAGTGTGTGTGAGAGGAGTGTGTGAGAGGAGTGTGTGAGAGGATTGTGTGTGAGAGGATTGTGTGTGAGAAGTGTGTGAGAGAGGAGTGTGTGTGAGAGGAGTGTGTGAGAGAGGAGTGTGTGTGAGAGGAGTGTGTGAGAGGAGTGTGTGTGAGAGGAGTGTGTGAGAGGAGTGTGTGTGAGAGGAGTGTGTGTGAGAGGAGTGTGTGAGAGGAGTGTGTGAGAGGGGTGTGTGTGAGAGGAGTGTGTGAGAGGAGTGTGTGTGAGAGGAGTGTGTGAGAAGTGTGTGAGAGAGGAGTGTGTGAGAAGTGTGTGAGAGAGGAGTGTGTGTGAGAGGAGTGTGTGAGAGGAGTGTGTGAGAGGGGTGTGTGTGAGAGGATTGTGTGAGAGGGGTGTGTGTGAGAGGAGTGTGTGAGAAGTGTGTGAGAGAGGAGTGTGTGAGAGGGGTGTGTGTGAGAGGAGTGTGTGAGAGGGGTGTGTGTGAGAGGAGTGTGTGAGAAGTGTGTGAGAGAGGAGTGTGTGTGAGAGGAGTGTGTGAGAGGAGTGTGTGAGAGGAGTGTGTGAGAGGGGTGTGTGTGAGAGGGGTGTGTGTGAGAGGAGTGTGTGTGAGAGGATTGTGTGTGAGAAGTGTGTGAGAGAGGAGTGTGTGTGAGAGGGGTGTGTGTGAGAGGGGGGTGTGTGAGGAGTGTGTGTGAGAAGTGTGTGAGAGAGGAGTGTGTGAGAGAGGGTGTGTGTGTGAGAGGGGTGTGTGAGGAGTGTGTGTGAGAGGAGTGTGTGAGAGGAGTGTGTGAGAGGGGTGTGTGTGAGAGGGGTGTGTGTGAGAGGATTGTGTGTGAGAGGGGTGTGTGAGAAGTGTGTGAGAGAGGAGTGTGTGTGAGAGGGGTGTGTGTGAGAGGGGGGAGTGTGAGAGGAGTGTGTGTGAGAGGAGTGTGTGAGAGAGGAGTGTGTGTGAGAGGAGTGTGTGTGAGAGGAGTGTGTGTGAGAGGAGTGTGTGTGAGAGGAGTGTGTGTGAGAGGAGTGTGTGTGAGAGGAGTGTGTGTGAGAGGAGTGTGTGTGAGAGGAGTGTGTGTGAGAGGAGTGTGTGTGAGAGGAGTGTGTGTGAGAGGAGTGTGTGTGAGAGGAGTGTGTGTGAGAGGGGTGTGTGTGAGAGGGGTGTGTGTGAGAGGAGTGTGTGTGAGAGGAGTGTGTGTGAGAGGGGTGTGTGTGAGAGGGGTGTGTGTGAGAGGGGTGTGTGTGAGAGGAGTGTGTGTGAGAGGAGTGTGTGTGAGAGGAGTGTGTGTGAGAGGAGTGTGTGTGAGAGGAGTGTGTGAGAGAGGAGTGTGTGAGAGAGGAGTGTGTGTGAGAGGAGTGTGTGTGAGAGGAGTGTGTGTGAGAGGAGTGTGTGTGAGAGGAGTGTGTGTGAGAGGAGTGTGTGAGAGAGGAGTGTGTGTGAGAGGAGTGTGTGTGAGAGGAGTGTGTGTGAGAGGAGTGTGTGTGAGAGGAGTGTGTGTGAGAGGAGTGTGTGTGAGAGGAGTGTGTGTGAGAGGAGTGTGTGTGAGAGGAGTGTGTGTGAGAGGGGTGTGTGTGAGAGGGGTGTGTGTGAGAGGAGTGTGTGTGAGAGGAGTGTGTGTGAGAGGAGTGTGTGTGAGAGGAGTGTGTGTGAGAGGAGTGTGTGTGAGAGGAGTGTGAGAGGAGTGTGTGAGAGAGGAGTGTGTGTGAGAGGAGTGTGTGTGAGAGGAGTGTGTGTGAGAGGAGTGTGTGTGAGAGGAGTGTGTGTGAGAGGAGTGTGTGTGAGAGGAGTGTGTGAGAGAGGAGTGTGTGTGAGAGGAGTGTGTGTGAGAGGAGTGTGTGTGAGAGGAGTGTGTGTGAGAGGAGTGTGTGTGAGAGGAGTGTGTGTGAGAGGAGTGTGTGTGAGAGGGGTGTGTGTGAGAGGAGTGTGTGTGAGAGGAGTGTGTGTGAGAGGAGTGTGTGTGAGAGGAGTGTGTGTGAGAGGAGTGTGTGTGAGAGGAGTGTGAGAGGAGTGTGTGAGAGAGGAGTGTGTGTGAGAGGAGTGTGTGTGAGAGGAGTGTGTGTGAGAGGAGTGTGTGTGAGAGGAGTGTGTGTGAGAGGAGTGTGTGTGAGAGGAGTGTGTGAGAGAGGAGTGTGTGTGAGAGGAGTGTGTGTGAGAGGAGTGTGTGTGAGAGGGGTGTGTGTGAGAGGAGTGTGTGTGAGAGGAGTGTGTGTGAGAGGAGTGTGTGTGAGAGGAGTGTGTGTGAGAGGAGTGTGTGTGAGAGGAGTGTGTGTGAGAGGAGTGTGTGTGAGAGGAGTGTGTGTGAGAGGGGTGTGTGTGAGAGGAGTGTGTGTGAGAGGAGTGTGTGTGAGAGGAGTGTGTGTGAGAGGAGTGTGTGTGAGAGGAGTGTGTGTGAGAGGAGTGTGTGTGAGAGGAGTGTGTGTGAGAGGAGTGTGTGTGAGAGGAGTGTGTGTGAGAGGAGTGTGTGAGAGGAGTGTGTGTGAGAGGATTGTGTGTGAGAGGATTGTGTGAGAGAGGGGTGTGTGTGAGAGGAGTGTGTGTGAGAGGAGTGTGTGTGCTCACCGTGAGGACGTTACGAGGAAGACCGCAGCGCATCCCGTGTTCACGTCTCATGCTGTCCAACACACACCCGGGAAACACGTCCAGCATGAAGTCGCCCCACGACCTGAAAGACACACACATTTAGATCTATAACACACTTCTGATAGTCGCTGTCAGACGATACTGAGTGCTCAGAAATACCGAGTCATGAACGTAAAGTTTCGACTGTGTACAACATTTATCACCATTATAAGTGTGTGAGAGGTGTGTGAGCGCTATATAAATAAAGGTGACTAATGTTTGAGGCTCATTTTGACATGCGTATTCCTGGTTTCAGACAGTGTGTGTCACACAGCCCTCAGACTCAGTGACCCGGTGAGTGTGTTCAGATAAAGCATCCGCCAAATGAGAGTTTAGTTGTGTGATTAGACTGGGAATCAAACTCGTGATCTTGCCTCCGCGAGCGTCACGATCTGCACATGCTTTCACACACTACTTCTGCTAAACTCTTTAAAACATTTTTTTACAATACTGATACAAAAATGATATAAATAATCATGCTCTCATGGAGATTATTTTTTAATATTTGAGAACTGTTTAATAATAAAGCAGAGAATGTAAAAGCATGTTAAAGGTAAATGGAGCACTTCCAGAGAGAAAGAGTCAGTGTGTGAGAGGAGTGTGTGTGTGTGTGTGTGTGTGTGTGTGTGCGTGTGTGTGTGTGTGTGGAGACGCACATGTTCTGGTAAGTGCTGAGCGTGAGGTGTGTGTGTGTGTGTGTGTGTGTGTGTGGAGACGCACATGTTCTGGTAAGTGCTGAGCGTGAGGTGTGTGTGTGTGTGTGTGTGTGTGTGTGTGTGTGTGTGTGTGTGTGTGTGTGTGTGTGTGTGTGTGTGGAGACGCACATGTTCTGGTAAGTGCTGAGCGTGAGGTGTGTGTGTGTGTGTGTGTGTGTGTGTGTGTGTGGAGACGCACATGTTCTGGTAAGTGCTGAGCGTGAGGTGTGTGTGTGTGTGTGTGTGGAGACGCACATGTTCTGGTAAGTGCTGAGCGTGAGGTGTGTGTGTGAGGAGTGTGTGTGTGTGTGGAGACGCACATGTTCTGGTAAGTGCTGAGCGTGAGGTGTGTGTGTGAGGAGTGTGTGTGTGTGTGGAGACGCACATGTTCTGGTAAGTGCTGAGCGTGAGGTGTGTGTGTGAGGAGTGTGTGTGTGTGTGGAGACGCACATGTTCTGGTAAGTGCTGAGCGTGAGGTGTGTGTGTGAGGAGTGTGTGTGTGTGTGGAGACGCACATGTTCTGGTAAGTGCTGAGCGTGAGGTGTGTGTGTGAGGAGTGTGTGTGTGTGTGGAGACGCACATGTTCTGGTAAGTGCTGAGCGTGAGGTGTGTGTGTGAGGAGTGTGTGTGTGTGTGGAAACGCACATGTTCTGGTAAGTGCTGAGCGTGAGGTGTGTGTGTGAGGAGTGTGTGTGTGTGTGGAGACGCACATGTTCTGGTAAGTGCTGAGCGTGAGGTGTGTGTGTGAGGAGTGTGTGTGTGTGTGGAGACGCACATGTTCTGGTAAGTGCTGAGCGTGAGGTGTGTGTGTGAGGAGTGTGTGTGTGTGTGGAAACGCACATGTTCTGGTAAGTGCTGAGCGTGAGGTGTGTGTGTGAGGAGTGTGTGTGTGTGTGGAGACGCACATGTTCTGGTAAGTGCTGAGCGTGAGGTGTGTGTGTGAGGAGTGTGTGTGTGTGTGGAGACGCACATGTTCTGGTAAGTGCTGAGCGTGAGGTGTGTGTGTGAGGAGTGTGTGTGTGTGTGGAGACGCACATGTTCTGGTAAGTGCTGAGCGTGAGGTGTGTGTGTGAGGAGTGTGTGTGTGTGTGGAGACGCACATGTTCTGGTAAGTGCTGAGCGTGAGGTGTGTGTGTGAGGAGTGTGTGTGTGTGTGGAAACGCACATGTTCTGGTAAGTGCTGAGCGTGAGGTGTGTGTGTGAGGAGTGTGTGTGTGTGTGGAGACGCACATGTTCTGGTAAGTGCTGAGCGTGAGGTGTGTGTGTGAGGAGTGTGTGTGTGTGTGGAAACGCACATGTTCTGGTAAGTGCTGAGCGTGAGGTGTGTGTGTGAGGAGTGTGTGTGTGTGTGGAGACGCACATGTTCTGGTAAGTGCTGAGCGTGAGGTGTGTGTGTGAGGAGTGTGTGTGTGTGTGGAGACGCACATGTTCTGGTAAGTGCTGAGCGTGAGGTGTGTGTGTGAGGAGTGTGTGTGTGTGTGGAAACGCACATGTTCTGGTAAGTGCTGAGCGTGAGGTGTGTGTGTGAGGAGTGTGTGTGTGTGTGGAGACGCACATGTTCTGGTAAGTGCTGAGCGTGAGGTGTGTGTGTGAGGAGTGTGTGTGTGTGTGGAGACGCACATGTTCTGGTAAGTGCTGAGCGTGAGGTGTGTGGATTGAGCCACGTCTGAAGGAGTGTCGGCCTGGTGAATCGTTCCTCGGGGGAAATACAGCAAATCACCAGCCTATAGGAAATCAAATGAGGCATTAATATAGCGCTTTACAATCATATCTCTGCTGAACCACAGACACACGCGCAGAACACTCGAGCACACCTCACGTCCCTGCTGATTGACCTCTAACCCCGTGATGTCACTGACCTGCAGGATGAAGTCGTGTGTGGGGGGGCCGATGCGGTGCTCGGGCTCCAGGCTGTACTCGCGGGCCAGAGGGACGGTGGGCTGGTAAAGCCTCCAGTGTTTCTGTCCCTCCAGCTGAAGGATCAGCACCTGAACCCATAAACACACGCCAGCAGAACGCCAGTTATTCCTCATGCACACATGAGCAAACCGTGACAGTAGATGCTAAACACACACGAGAGCAGACACACACCTCGACGTCGTCGTAGTGCGGCGGCAGACCCTGAGAGCCACGAGGCGTGATGTAGATGTTAGATCCAACCAGCGACCCGAAGAAGCACTCCAGCCGCTCCTGAATACGCCACAGCTCGTCCTGTGAACACACGTGACCAGTGAACACTCGTGACCAGTGAACACTCAACACTCGTGACCAGTGAACACTCAACACTCGTGACCAGTGAACACTCGTGACCAGTGAACACTCGTGACCAGTGAACACACGTGACCAGTGAACACTCGTGACCTGTGAACACTCGTGAGTCGTGACCTGTGAACACTCGTGACCAGTGAACACGCGTGACCAGTGAACACTCGTGACCTGTGAACACTCGTGAGTCGTGACCTGTGAACACGCGTGACCAGTGAACACGCGTGACCAGTGAACACTCGTGACCAGTGAACACTCGTGACCAGTGAACACTCGTGACCAGTGAACACTCGTGACCAGTGAACACGCGTGGTGACCAGTGAACACGCGTGGTGACCAGTGAACACGCGTGGTGACCAGTGAACACGCGTGGTGACCAGTGAACACGCGTGGTGACCAGTGAACACGCGTGACCAGTGAACACTCAACACTCGTGACCAGTGAACACTCAACACTCGTGACCAGTGAACACTCGTGACCAGTGAACACTCGTGACCAGTGAACAGTCGTGACCAGTGAACACTCGTGACCAGCGAACACTCGTGACCTGTGAACACTCGTGACCAGTGAACACACGTGAGTCGTGACCTGTGAACACTCGTGACCAGTGAACACACGTGACCAGTGAACACTCGTGAGTCGTGACCTGTGAACACTCGTGACCAGTGAACACACGTGACCAGTGAACACTCGTGACCTGTGAACACTCGTGAGTCGTGACCTGTGAACACTCGTGACCAGTGAACACGCGTGACCAGTGAACACTCGTGACCTGTGAACACTCGTGAGTCGTGACCTGTGAACACGCGTGACCAGTGAACACGCGTGACCAGTGAACACTCGTGACCAGTGAACACTCGTGACCAGTGAACACTCGTGACCAGTGAACACTCGTGACCAGTGAACACACGTGACCAGTGAACACTCGTGACCTGTGAACACTCGTGAGTCGTGACCTGTGAACACTCGTGACCAGTGAACACGCGTGACCAGTGAACACTCGTGACCTGTGAACACTCGTGAGTCGTGACCTGTGAACACGCGTGACCAGTGAACACGCGTGACCAGTGAACACTCGTGACCAGTGAACACTCGTGACCAGTGAACACTCGTGACCAGTGAACACTCGTGACCAGTGAACACGCGTGGTGACCAGTGAACACGCGTGGTGACCAGTGAACACGCGTGGTGACCAGTGAACACGCGTGGTGACCAGTGAACACGCGTGGTGACCAGTGAACACGCGTGGTGACCAGTGAACACGCGTGGTGACCAGTGAACACGCGTGACCAGTGAACACGCGTGACCAGTGAACACGCGTGACCTGTGAACACTCGTGACCAGTGAACACGCGTGACCAGTGAACACTCGTGACCAGTGAACACTCGTGACCAGTGAACACTCGTGACCAGTGAACACGCGTGACCAGTGCACATGCGTGACCAGTGAACACGCGTGACCAGTGAACACGCGTGACCAGTGAACACTCGTGACCAGTGAACACTCGTGACCAGTGAACACGCGTGACCAGTGAACACGCGTGACCTGTGAACACGCGTGACCTGTGAACACGCGTGACCTGTGAACACGCGTGACCTGTGAACACGCGTGACCAGTGAACACTCGTGACCAGTGAACACTCGTGACCAGTGAACACTCGTGACCAGTGAACACGCGTGACCAGTGAACACGCGTGACCAGTGAACACGCGTGACCAGTGAACACGCGTGACCAGTGAACACGCATGACCAGTGAACACGCGTGACCAGTGAACACGCATGACCAGTGAACACTCGTGACCAGTGAACACTCGTGACCAGTGAACACGCGTGACCAGTGAACACGCATGACCAGTGAACACGCATGACCAGTGAACACGCATGACCAGTGAACACGCGTGACCAGTGAACACGCATGACCAGTGAACACGCGTGACCAGTGAACACTCGTGACCAGTGAACACTCGTGACCAGTAGGGCTGTCAACTTTAGTCGTTTAGTCGACTAGTCGGTCGATGCCGTCTTGGTCGACTGACATTCTTATTGGTCGACCAGTTGCATTTTTTTTTTTTACCAATCTAGAAATTTTCAATGATTTACTCCTTGATATTTATTCCTTTTATAAGCAGTTAAATATTACTGTATTCTAAATATAATTAGCCTATGGTTTATCCCCAACTTTAAATGCTTTAATTTAGGCTATTTTGTACAGCGCCACAGTTTAGCGCACACACATAGAACACTCGGTTCGCACCTGTGGCTGCGCTGCTGCTTCGTGCTCAGTAAGGGATATAGGTAGTTTAGCTGTATTCATTCAGTTAGAACGCTACTTGTTTCGGTTTTTATGTTTTTATACACTATATGTTTGTATCTCGATGCGGCGTGGACGCACTTGGAAAAAAAAGAGCGCGTCGCACCGCGACCGTTGCTTCCATCATGAGCGCGCACACCGCGCGCCTACATTTGAAATCGAACTTGAGCGCGCAAAAGACGTGAGCAGTCCCTTTAACGGCTTTATCATGCTGACTCAATAGATTGTGTTTTCTTGATATGTTTTTGTTTTTATTTGTACACTTGACGCGTTTGAAAATAGCCTAAATAATGTAACAAAACGAAAATAAACCTATATGCGGTCCTACAATAAAGCCTATTATTAGGATTGTTTTTTAGGCTCTTTGGGTTTTTGTCTGTGTTTGTTTTAAAACGCCTAGATAGGCTGGACAAAAGTTAACCTATAGCTTTGAAAGTAAAGAAGAATATACAGCCTGTATAAACGAGAGCTTTTGTTAGGATTTTTCATTGTGGCAGATAGCAGTTATATTTTTTGTAGCATGTGGTGTGGTCAGGTGCGCGATTGTGACTGTCACTATAGACCTAGGACAGTGCTCCTCACTTTTTGCAGTTAAAAAAAAATCACTTAATTTTCAAAGAATTGTATTATTATTATAGTTTTATGTATTTTTGATGTTTTTTCGTTGTTGTTTTATAAATGCTCTATGACAATTGTTAAAAAATGTTCAATCAAAACATCGCGTCTTTTTTTTTTTTTTTTTTTTTTTTTTTTTTTAGTCGACTAATCGTTGTGCAGGACAAGACTTTGGTCGACTAAGGATTTCTTTGGTTGACTACAGCCCTAGTGACCAGTGAACACGCGTGACCAGTGAACACGCGTGACCAGTGAACACGCGTGACCAGTGAACACGCGTGACCAGTGAACACGCGTGACCAGTGAACACGCGTGACCAGTGAACACGCGTGACCAGTGAACACGCGTGACCTGTGAACACGCGTGACCAGTGAACACTCGTGACCAGTGAACACGCGTGACCAGTGAACACGCGTGACCAGTGAACACTCGTGACCAGTGAACACTCGTGACCAGTGAACACACGTGACCAGTGAACACTCGTGACCAGTGAACACTCGTGACCAGTGAACACTCGTGACCAGTGAACATGCGTGACCAGTGAACACGCGTGACCAGTGAACACACGTGACCAGTGAACACTCGTGACCAGTGAACACTCGTGACCAGTGAACACTCGTGACCAGTGAACACACGTGACCATCGTGACCAGTGAACACTCGTGACCAGTGAACACTCGTGACCAGTGAACACACGTGACCAGTGAACACTCGTGACCAGTGAACACTCGTGACCAGTGAACACGCGTGACCAGTGAACACGCGTGACCAGTGAACACGCGTGACCAGTGAACACGCGTGTGACCAGTGAACACTCGTGACCAGTGAACACTCGTGACCAGTGAACACACGTGACCAGTGAACACACGTGACCAGTGAACACTCGTGACCAGTGAACACTCGTGACCAGTGAACACTCGTGACCAGTGAACACGCGTGACCAGTGAACACGCGTGACCAGTGAACACACGTGACCAGTGAACACTCGTGACCAGTGAACACACGTGACCAGTGAACACTCGTGACCAGTGAACACTCGTGACCAGTGAACACTCGTGACCAGTGAACACTCGTGACCAGTGAACACTCGTGACCAGTGAACACGCGTGACCTGTGAACACTCGTGACCAGTGAACACGCGTGTGACCAGTGAACACGCGTGACCAGTGAACACGCGTGACCAGTGAACACACGTGACCAGTGAACACACGTGACCAGTGAACACTCGTGACCAGTGAACACTCGTGACCAGTGAACACTCGTGACCAGTGAACACTCGTGACCAGTGAACACGCGTGACCAGTGAACACGCGTGACCAGTGAACACACGTGACCAGTGAACACTCGTGACCAGTGAACACACGTGACCAGTGAACACTCGTGACCAGTGAACACTCGTGACCAGTGAACACTCGTGACCAGTGAACACTCGTGACCAGTGAACACTCGTGACCAGTGAACACGCGTGACCTGTGAACACTCGTGACCAGTGAACACGCGTGTGACCAGTGAACACGCGTGACCAGTGAACACGCGTGACCAGTGAACACACGTGACCAGTGAACACACGTGACCAGTGAACACTCGTGACCAGTGAACACTCGTGACCAGTGAACACTCGTGACCAGTGAACACGCGTGACCAGTGAACACGCGTGACCAGTGAACACACGTGACCAGGTTTGCGCGAGCTCTGACCTTGAACCTCTGAGGCTGGTGCAGCTGTATGGTGGCTCTGCTCTCCTCCAGGTCCTTCTTCAGCTGGCTGAACTTCACCTTCCCGTCTTTATTCAGCACTCTCTTCTGGCCGTCGACGCAGCGGCACACGTTGAGGTCTCTGGCGTATCGCAGGCCGCGAGCGCAGAGCTGCCTGACGTCGGACAGCTGGAACAGCGAGCGGAAGTACGAGGCCAGAGCCGGATCGTTGCGCTGCAGGACCAGTGGCTTCTGCTCCCAGTACTGAAGGAAGAACTGGTCCACGCCGACCGGACTGATCAGACTCTGGAAGAAATCCCTCGGAGAGTCGAAGCACAGCGGGTTCCCCATCTTCATCTGCTTCACAGGTACATCCTCCTCCTCCTCCTGTCCATCACACTTCTTCACTCTTCTGCCCTTCTTTGGCATCTCTGCGGCATAAATATCATAATATAAATATGCTCTTCATAACCTTCACTGCGCTGATTATTCTGGAATTTTTGTCAAATACAGGCTATTTTCACTGTGTGTAAAACATGCAATACGCTTCAAATGATTATTCATAAATGTGTATGTGCACTACTTTAACATCAAGACAAGGTGATGCGGCTGTTGTGGAAAAACTAATGAAGAACAGAACAGCAGTCGCATCAGTCGTCCTCTCCTCCGCCATGTCTACAGTTTAGGACCCGATCAACTCAGACACTCGGCTATCAAAATGATCTTCGAGTTTCCCAGTAGTAAATACGCCCTTCATGTCCAGTTCCTACTAGGAAACTAGCATTTACAACAATTCCAATTCCTAGCACGTGAAAGCAGAATTAATAACCATTAATTCTTGCCACTGTGAAGAAACTAGAATGAGAATTAATGTTCATAACTAACGTACAGCACAGATGAAGCTTAAAATAATTACATGCTTTTAACCATTGATTCAGTTCACGCATTCATCATCACGAAATAACCAATTAGTCCAGTTTAATTTAGTCAGTTTATGGAAAAGTGTCAACACAAGTGACAGATTGAGGGAGAATTAAGGTGTGCAAAACCTAATAATACAATTTATTGATTTGCTTTTTATTGTAATTTAAAAATGCAGTGTCAAATTAAAATACAAAATGCAATTGATGATTTGACATTTTATTATTATCTATTATTTAATAGAAAAATGCAAAGGAAACAATTAAGTGCATATAAAATGCTAATGCAACAATAGTGACAAGCTTCAAATTAATGCGTTGTTTAGTTTTCCTCTTTTTTTTTTTTTATGGTTTAAATTTCAAAACCTAAGACAACCGGACATGTTTAAAATTTTGACATAATTTAACTCATAAAAGTAGAGTAAGATATTTAATCGTATACTTGTTATTCAAATAAGACAGACGGGTCCGTCATAATTTATATGCCAGTAAATAACTCATTCGCAGTGGAAGTACAGACAAACATGTTCCTTACCGACAGCATCACAGGCGCACGTGCAAAGATGGTGTCACACTTCAAACGCTCCGGGTGGAAACTTATAAAAACCGTTCCTGGTCATTTTTTAGTCAAGTTCATAATCGTAGCAACCACAATCAATCACAGGAAAATATGTGGCGTATGCCGATTTTTATTTCACGAGCTCGTCCAGTTCAAGTGCTTTGTTGTCTGAAAGAATATGAATCATGGTGGACACCAGGTTTATTTTTGCTATTTCCTGTGGAAATTTTATTATAGGCAAAATGTTGAAGAAATTTAAGTTTGAATACAACATAGTGTCCCATTTACTTCTATATACACATTCACTACACTCTAGATACTCGGCTTGCTTACTACTCTGGAATTCCTGTCAAATTGAGGCTATTATAATTATTAAATTTGTAAATATGACTTGAGAGGGCATTTGTGTCCAATTTCTGTCTCGGAAACTCCGATAGGAATTTACATTTACATTTACATTTTACATTTATTCATTTAGCTGACGCTTTTATCCAAAGCGACTTACAATTGCAATATATGTCAGAGGTCGCACGCCTCTAGAGCAACTAGGGGTTAAAGGGATAGTTCACTTTGAAATTAATTTTTGATATGTTTTAGCTTACCTTAAGGCATAGGTCGGCAACCCGCGGCTCTTAAGCGCCGCCCTAGTGGCTCCCTGGAGCTTTTTCAAAAATTTGAAAATGGGAAAAATATTTTTTGTTTTAATATAATTTCTGTAGGAGGAAAAACATGACAAATATTCGTAAAGTTTTTCAACGTTGTAAAAATGTGTATAATAAATATTTTAAAAAAAATTTTTTATTGAAGGCAACATTGGGTACAAACGTGTTAAACCATCAATATACAAACAAACATTTATACAGATATACCATACCAGAGACAAAGAGCAAAAAAACAAAAACAAAAAAAAAACACAACAAAACAACAACAACAACAACAACAAAAACATACATACTAAATAAAGGAGTAAAAATAAGAAAAATGAAGAGGAATCGGGGAATAGGTCATAATATTGACACAAGAGTTTTCCATTCTTCTTGTTCTTTACAAGCTTATGTGATTTAAGAAGCATATTAAATTCCGAAATATAATGTTTAAAACATAAGGAAGACTTATTAAATTTCTGCTTGTGTATGAAGAACTTAGCATATAAGATTATAAAGTTTAATACAAACTCCAGGGTGCCATCTTGTGGGAAACAAAAGTAACAGATAACATCTTTCAGGGTGAATGAGTGAGTTATATTTTGAGATTGGAGAAAGTGAGTACCCAAATCTTCCCAAAACCTTTTGGTAACTGGACAATTAAAAAATAAATGAGGAATTGTTTCAGTGTCCTGTTTACAAAAGCTACAGCATGTGTCAATGTCTAGAAACTTGGCAACAAAACAATTAGTAGGGTAAATGTTATGTAAAAGTTTAAAGCGGACCTCTTTAGCTTTATTAGAGATACAATATTTGTGAGGAATCAACCATGTTTTTTTCCAATTTATTTCACTTATTAAGGAATTCCAATAAAACATCCCCCTTGGAGCAATGGAGTTACGCTTTTGCAAATGTCGGCGAATATGCTTATTATTACATTTTTTATCAGACAGTTCTACACCATCCAACATAAGTGAAAGCTGTCTGATATCATTGTTTCCATAGCTCAGATGATTTTTAATTAATTGTCTGATTCCGGAAGGGATGGCATCAGTGATAGATTTAAACTCTTTAAAGGGTATTGGGAAATCATGAGCTACCATAAACTGTTCATAAGAGAGCATGGTGCCAGAGTCATCAAATAAGCAGAGTACATGGTTAATTCCTCTATCGAACCACTTAGGGAAGAATACTGATTTATTCCTAATAAGAATGTTGCTGTTGTTCCAAAGGAGAGATTTGTGTGGTGAGAAGTTGTGATTGAAGGATAATTTCCAGGCCAAGAGGGACTGTTGGTGGAAGTTGGACAATTTGATAGGTCATTTATTAGGTAGAAAATTACACTTTAGAAGAAATGAGAGCCCACCCAGTTTATTAAAAATAAAGTTTGGAATAAAGAAAAAAATAGAATCAGGATTTCGAATGCACCTTTTTAACCAATTCATTTTGAATGTGTTGACCACATCTATAAAATCCCAAATCTCTAGACCTCCCTTTTCTTTAGGGTTAGAGAGAACATTCTTTTTAAGCCTATGAGACTTGTTCTTCCAAATGAAATCTAAAAAAGTCTTGTTGACTTGATTAACAATTGAGTCCTTTACAAAAAGAGACAAGGAGGGGTAGACAAAGCGAGAAAGGCCTTCTGCCTTGGAGAGTAATACTCTACCTAAAACGGACAAGTCTCTTTGTAGCCAGCAGTTGAATATTAATTTGGTTTTCTGTATCCTATTCGAAAAATTTAAGTCCTGTCTAACTATAATATTTTTACATACATGTATACCTAAATATTTTACATTCTGTTTAACTGGAATGTTATCAATAGCAGAGTCACTATACAACAATGAAGAGGCAACAGCTCACACTTGGATCGATTAAGCCTTAAACCAGACGCAGAAGAGAATTTCTCCACCAGTTCAAAGACAATGCTCAACTGGTCCTTGTTGTTCAAAAAAATGGTGGTGTCGTCCGCCAGCAGTGAGATCTTTATTTCTTTTCCAAAAATCTTTATACCTCCAAAATGTACTTGTGTAAAGTGTATAGCTAGTAGTTTGGTTACTAAGATAAATAAAAAGGGAGAAATGTTGCACCCCTGCCTGACCCCCCTATTAATCTGAAATCGTGGAGAAGTATTTTGATTAAATATAACAGAACTGTTTATATCTTTGTAGAACATGCTGACAATGTCGACAAAAGGGCTTCCAAAACCAAATGCTTTGATGGCTTCTATTAAAAAAGGGTGTTCGATTGTGTCGAACGCTTTGTAAAAATCAAGAAACAAAATGAAGGCGTCAGAATCAATATTGTCAGCATAGTCAAGCAAGTCTAAAATGAGTCTTATGCAGTGTTGGGGGTAACTCATTACAAGTAACTTGAGTTACGTAATCAGATTACTTTTTCAAGTAACTAGTAAAGTAACGCATTACTTTTAAAATTTACAACAAAATATCTGAGTTACTTTTTCTAATAAGTAACGCAAGTTACTTTGTTTTCCCCTTTATTGACTGACAGCTCTTCTGTCCTAATGTTGAGACAAATCGAAGTGCAGAGGCGTTGTGTGTAAACATGATGGTTATTATAGTTCTAGATTAAATGTAAGCGTGGATTTACTCATCTCACTTGCACAAAAAAGATTCAATATTCCTCAAAATGAATAAAATCAGTGAAATGCAGAATCAGAACACTTTGCAAACCTCCAATACCTAAATATATTAAATAAAACATAAATTTTTATGCATTTAATCTTTATTGACCAAAGTACTTGCTTCTGACCTCCGATTTTTCAGTTAAACCATCAGCAAAAATGACTATAGATTTTTTTAGATGTTTTTATTGTTAAAGTAAGTGTTAAATTTGTTTCTCCTGCATCCTCTTCTTCTGTTACCCAGAACAGCAGCAGCTGAAAGGTTTGTTTGAGCGGCGCCCTCTACTGAACACTACTGTACTCTACTGTACAGGAGTAAATCTGCATTTCCTTCAGTCTGAGGCTTATTATTTCACTTTTGGTGTGAAAGGGTCTTTACATTTGCCCAAAAATACATCTTTTTTGGTATAAAAAAACAAGCCCAGCCCAGGTGGAAAAAAAGTAACGCAAAAGTAACGTAACACATTACTTTTCTAAAAAAGTAACTAAGTAACGCAATAAGTCACTTTTTAAGGGAGTAACGCAATATTGTAACGCATTACTTTTCAAAGTAACTTTCCCCAACACTGGTCTTATGTTATTGCTAATGTGGCGTTTTTTCATGAAACCCGTTTGAGTTTCTGCAATTATTGAATTTAAATCAGATTTTAATCTATATGCATATACAGAGGCCAGAATTTTATAATCTATAGTTAATAATGTGATTGGACGCCAATTATCAATTAAATGAGGGTCTTTACCAGGTTTCGGGATCAAGGAGATAATGCCTTGCTTCATTGTTGTGGTCATTTCCCCTTGATCTATACACTCCCTATACATGTGCAATAAAGGGAGTTGAATAAGCTCCCAGAAATGAGTATAGAACTCCGCTCCTAGCCCATCTATCCCGGGAGATTTTCCTTTCTTCATAGCAAACAAAGCATTTTTAACCTCATTTAAAGAGAGATCAGCGTCACAAGAAGCTTTATAATCTTCACTAATAATAGGGATACTGTTCTGAATTTTTTCAAAAAAACTTGCACTTTCTACTCTGTTAAAATTAGACTGATATAAATTACCATAAAACGAGCTAACAAATTTAGAAATGTGAGTAGGATCCTTAGAAAGGGTGCCATCAATGTAGAGCTCAGTTACAGAATTTCTTTTAGCATTCCTTTCTTCTAAAGCAAAAAAATAATTGGTGTTCTTTTCGCCCTCTTCCAGCCACTTAGCCCTTGATCTAATAAATGCCCCTTTTGCCATATCTGTATATATTTGGTCTATCTGAATTTGGATGGCTTTTATCTCAATTTCTTCTTCTGGGTTAATGTTTCCTTTTGACATTAATTGAGTTAATTTATTCATCAAGACATGTTCTGAATTATATTTTTCTTTCTTTATTTCCTTAGATCTCTTTATAGCCAATTGTCTAATTTTATACTTGAAGTACTCCCACTTTTTCTTATGTCCATTATTAATGTCAATCTCGAAGATCTCTTTAGCTAGAAGCTTAACAGAATCATTAAAGGAGTCGTCACTCAAAAGAGTATTGTTAAACTTCCAATAACCTCTCAAGCCCGATTGCGGGTCAATGGAGCCTAGATTCAAAATAATTAATTTGTGGTCCGAAAGGGGTGCATAAACATGTTTAACCTCATTAACAAATTGAAGAGAGAAGAAGAAGAAACTAAAAATAAATCAATTCT